GGAATTGCTGGTTTGATGGACAATTGGATGCATGCCAACTTGAGACAAAAACAAGATATGCAAGAATACCTCCATACAGCGCAGCTTGTCATATAAACCAAGCCTTGATCTCTTTTAATGAGAACTATATTGATTCCTGTAGATCTACTATTAGTCTCTTCTGTATTATTTTTCTAGTATAAAATCACGTGGTGTAGTCAGGGGATTACATATAGCACTGCCACTCTTTACCTCAGTCTAGTCTGTGTTAATTCTGCAGCACAGGAAGTGATGGGTAGAGTGTTTCAGTAGCAAATGTAGAACATCTATCCTTAATTTTGTAAATGAGATTTTAACAGATTTCTAGGGAGCGTCCATTATAGGACAAGAGAATTGACTGGTATGGTCTGCGCTGGGCTTGGGCTGAATTAATATTGTCTCTCACATTTCTAGTTGAGGACTGTCTAGCTTAGTGAGGAAGTATATTGGCAAGACAATGCAAGACCTGGTGCTTTTTAATATTACCTGTTCTGTAATTAGCTGGGGTGATCTCTGCTTTGTGCTGTGAAGTGGACACTTCTTTTTTTTAACACTAATTTTTTCTTGCATATATGGAAATGAGTAAAGCTAGGATATCTGGAGCTGAAACTGCTGCTCTGCTAACCAGGTGATGCTATCTCTTCGCTCATCTTGGTGGTTGGACAGTTTAGCTTGATTCTTTAAGATTTTATCTTTCTAATGGCATTTGGAAAGCAGTATTAAAGTTTGTCTCTGTGTTGATAGGCTTGTCTCTGTATTGGGTGGGGAGTATCGAGGTACTAGACTGCCAGTACTGGTGGTTCTGTGCCTTGGCTTGACATACTGTATCACGACCAAGCTCTTGGCACACGTCCGTGGGTCTCATCTTCTGTCTGATGTGAAAATAATCACAGAGAGAAAAAAGAGCAGCACTGACTTCCAAGATGGACATTCTGGTAAAAAAGCTAAAGTATGTTGGAAGGGAGCAGGAGAGGGGAGCTATTTTCGAAACAGATCCCAAAAGCTGATGGTGCTTGAAGACTGTATCTTGAAATGAAATGCCATCTGCATTGATCCCAGACGCTTTGACTCCAGGAGAGCTTTTGGCTGTGTGTTAACAGCAGTGTGCTGGCGCTGCTGTAGCTGCGCACCCTTCCATTGTAAATCTCTCTTCATCTGCTCATAAGTGGGTGCTAAAACTCAGTTCCTTCTAAGATACAGTATGCAGATCTCTGGCCAGACAATGTATCTTACTCCATGCTAACAGCTACTTAACCTTTCTTCAAGATAACAGACTGTGAGAAGTATTTCAGGGGAATGGCTAGCTGAGACTGTTTTCATTATTTAAGTAAAAACTACAGTTGAAGCAGAGCAAAATTTGAGGGGGGGGAGGGAGGGAGTAGGACCTGAGGAAGAGCTTCTTATGAAGGAAGTAACTGATTCTGAATAGCACTGCTTCTCCGCTAATGCTTCCCTAAATCTTTCGTGCTGAGCTTGTGTGCAGGTGAATTGGCCCAAAAGCTGAGGGAAGATAGCAGGGAGAGAGGGGGGATGTGGAAGACAAATGATCTTTTGGCAGTTCACAAGGCTTGGAAAGCATGCTTGGTAGACTTAGGGTTGACAGCTTGTGTTCAAACTTCTGTTTGCCTTGTAGCCATTACAGTCTATTGGATAAAGAGTGTTTTTTCCAATGAACGTGTTACATTATCTGGAATGTGTAATGAGCTTGAACTGATGAGACACATTAAACAGTATTTCTGGGGACTCCGTTTAACAAAATGGCTAGTATTTATTGCTCTTGTGATGAGTTGTCTTGTTTATGGAATCGATATGTATGAAAGCAAAGTGAGAAGACACTAAGTTATCTTGTGACACAATCATATAGATAGGAAGCCAATTGAAATGTTATCCTTTATTCTGCAATTTACTTGCTCTGTGGTGCCTATGCATTGTAACACACATACTATGCAATATCATTCTTTTTTAAACCAGTTCTCTGCATTGGGCAGGAAAGGCCTGAGTTTAGCCTTAATTTTCTAACAATTCACAGGAAAGTACTTTAAAAAAAAAACAGTGACAAACTAAAAGAAGGTGAAAAATGCATAAAGTAAAAGCACAGTTCTAGACTGCTCACATAAGTGTCTTTGTAGCACCAAAACAGCATCCACAATAGAAGCAGCTATTTGCTGTAATACTTTCAATTTATGAAAACTGTGTACTAGATAAAATTATATTGTGATGTGTAAAAAGTGTATTTTATAGCTTTGGTGACTTAGTTTACTGTTTTGTATATATGAATTTTATAAATCTATTAAAACATGACTTGTTATACTGTTCTTTATGGGTTGTATCTTTCAACAGGGTCTAGAGGGTGACTTTTTTTTTTTGCTTTATTCAAACATTTTCTGCAAAAAAGCTGCTTTTTGAATAAATTACAGCATGGACTGCATGAAACTACGGCTATCATGCAATAAATCTTGTTCTGTAATCTGTATATATCTCCCACCTTTCCAGTTGTGGTCTGAATCGTTCTTCCTGGATGTGTCCAAGAAGTGAAGGCTGGTGAAACATTGCCTTATGCAAAACTCAGAACTCATTCATCCATGGCATTCACTAGCTGATTTTAGGCATTTGAACTGATGGGAAGCAGAAGGGGAGATGCAACTAAAAGATTTTGTGCTTACGCGTTGAAAGTTCAGCCAGGAAAGATATTAAGCCTGTTTAACTGGCAACGCCTGTTAAACTGATTTCTCTGCTACTGGGTAGGGTCTGGTAATAGGCACATGAACTACGCTTCTTTCTCTCCTGATGCCCAGTCCTCTCTGTCGGACTTGCTTGTGTGTGTGCTGGGCATTAGCATTGCCATCCTGGCATCAACTAGGTCTACCAGGATTTGAGCTCTGATTCTTAGGAATGCCTTTAACCTTTCCTCACTTGTGCTTTGAAAGGTCACCTCTGACAGATTTTTACTGCAAATCTTAACTGTTTCTTATGCAAACTGCTAATGCGCTGTCCATTACATTGGCAGGTGCACAATCTGAACCACTACATGGAGCGTTGCTTGTTCTTTTTACTACACATTTGACATGTTAGGTCCTCAGCTACATCAAGCTTTTGGAATGTTTGACTTTATTTTTCCCAAGAGGTGCTGAGCCTCTTTCAGGTACCAGTGTATATGATTAGTGTTCAGCTTCTCTGAAAATAAGGTCAGCTCAAATGCAGGTTATGTTACATAGTAATAGAAGGCTTCTAAGTGTGATCCCATACACGCTCATTTGCACAGTACTCCGGTACGAATGAACAACAGCAGCTCCAAGTGATCTCTTTGGTCAGCCCCAGGAAAGCAAATAGACAACCCTTCTGGGCCAAAATGTTCTTGGGAATTAAAAGTCCTGCTGCAACTGTAACTGGGGCCAAGTCAGGCTTTTGAGATGCTTGACCAAAAGACAGGGAAGAATGGTTTTTTAAGGTGCCACTTTTCTCTGCTACAAAGCTGTTGAGTGGTTGGTTTGTTTTAATGGAGTTTCTCTGTTGTCCAAATTACTCAATCTCAACAGCTTTAACCAAAACAAGACATGTGTTGTCACGGAAAGCCTAGCCGAGGTCAATCCTTCCCTGCTCAGTAGTCAGAAGCAAGTGTTTAAACTGCCCCAATTTCAGTAGGCTTTAAACACTGACTTGAAACACCTGGTGAGAGGCTGGAATTAGGATATCTTAGTGACACCTGCCAGTGTTCCTGCATCTCAAACTATCCCACTAAATACGGCAGAGCTATCCCTTTTGCGCTTCAGCTGAACAGATGTCGTCCTGCCTGAGCAGAGGCTGAAGCGGTCGGTTCTGCAGGTAAGGCTGCCTGTTCAGAGCTGCTGCTGTTATATGAGCTACAAATTTTCTTACCTGGATCAGGATGCCTGTCTGTTACTAGAATATCTTTTCTATAATTTTAATAATCCAGCACTCGGAAGATAAAAGGGAAACATGCCTATTTCCTCAGTGAAAGGCTTCTCTAAAGTGCAGAGTAGGCAGGACTACATACCTTGCACTTCTGCTGGAGTGTGCAGGGCTAAAGGTTTGCAGGAGTTACAGTAATGTTTATAAGCATTTGTTACGTCTCTTTGAAAGAGAAGATGAGGAGAGAAATTAAATCCCTGTGATTTCCAAGCCCAGTCTGGTATCTCTTGGTACCTTATTGTGTACAGACTTGGGAGGAAGTTTATTCAGTTATTAACAGAAATTGTCAGATTTCCTCCCACTCTCCCCAGGACTGGCTGGCACCCTAGGAAGCTGCACAGTGTTAGCAGAGGGAGAATTAATTGGAAGTGTCTGGGCATTTTTCTGAAGAATAACTTTATTTTAAAGCATCAGTTTTTGTGCAGCACAAAGACTTTGATTGAAAGTACAGTTATTAGGAGAGGGAGGACGTCATGTGTATTGCTAAATCAGAAAGTGCTGGGTATTGCTGATGAAACATCTATGGAAGACAACAGTTTTTCCTCTCCCACCTTTGCAAGCTGTTGCAGGCAGTTTCATTGATAAGTGGAGAAGAGTCTCTCTTCTTTTTTTTTTCCCTTTTCTCCACAATATTTGTATTGTACCATCACTCACTGCAGATCCAGCAACTTCTTGTTTTGTGAGTAGGAGTGGAATGGTTTGCCTGTGTATTCTTGAGAGTAGAAATTTGTCTTTATAAAGTTGTTAAGCTATTAAAAAGCTGTGATTTCTACTCTGTGCAGGATTATAGACTTTAGAAGTTGTTTCAAAACTAGTGACCTTGAGCATGGGACAGAAAATGCACGACTGGAGTCACTTTGTGGTCTTGGAAGGTGCTCGAGGTAGTCGCAGGACAGAGCAGTGTTGGAAAGGTTGTGACCCAGATGAGTCTAATGCAAATCCATGTTGTATTATTGCTCTAGGGGTGGTTACCTGAAGGACAATAACAACTTCAGAAAGGAGCTATTTGGTTGTGCTGGTGGCTCTGCTGAAGGCAGCAGCCAGATAAAATGTTCAGCGTTCATTTCTGGGTCTTCTCTCTTTCACCACGGCAAGACGCTCGCAGGCAGTGAGGCACAGAAATGAAAGCGCTGGTGCCTTGGGGCTGTGCCGGGAGGCTGTCAGCAAAGAGCTCCTGAGCCCTCTGCAAGGGGAGCGTTACTGCCCCGGCCGGCGCGCCGCTGCAGCCTGCCTGCCTCGGCTGTGCTGCAGCGAAGGCACGCGCACCCTGTGCAGCAGGAAGGAGGAGCTGCTTGGTGTTGGCACCAGCCTTCTGCAGATCTTTGGCTGATACGGCTGCCCTTTGGGACAGGCCTCCTTCCCCTGCTCGGTGCCCTGCTCCTTCCCGCAGGAGGCTCGCCAAGCTGTATAATACAACCCCTACTCTCCCACCCGCTGCATACGGTACACTGAAACTCTGTTCCTGACCCTTTTGTAACCACCCCTCTGACCTTGCCTACTGAGCTGCAAGTAATTTCTGGGCGCATACAGGCGTGGAGTACTCTACTACTTCTTGCGCATGGTGGATCTTACAGCTTGACCTTCTGAAAATGACTCCTAAATATCTCATCTCTATTTCTGTTCTTCTTGGTCAGCAGCTTATTTAGCTGCATCTGATGCCATTCACGCGCCCTGCCTGATAGTCGCATCTCCCGGGAAACCTGCTTTACTTAACAGCGAGACTGCCACTTAAAGGGGACGGAAGCTTGTTTATGCACTTACCTTTGATTTGTTTTACTTTTTCTTCATCTATCAGCAGTTTTCCGCTGCTCTACAGCTCTGGTACATGCAGAGAAGATGGGAATGGCACCTTTGTGTTTTAGTCCTGATTATGACCTTGATTTTCTGTGTAACCTTGGCCAGTCACTTTATTCCTCTGTGGCTCTGGCTGCCCACTAGGGAGAAGGACAAGGGTCCTTGCTCATACTGGTGGACTGTGTGCAGTGTAGGTGCTAAGCACTACTCACGTGTGTGTTTGGTTCTCCATGCTTTCCTCCGATGCTGTTGACTCTGGACAATTGCTGTAGCTCTGCACACCCGTGTTGGGAGTTTGACCAGAAACTCAACTCACCCGGGGAGCCAAGTGTCTCGTGCAGCGCTCTCGTGCACGGCAGCAGTGCCGCAAACCTTGGCTGACGTGAAAGGTAGCCATCTCCCCAGCAGTGCCTTTGCATGAGCAAAAACCTGCAGTGTGATATTGCACGGGCTCTCTCTCCTCTCCAGCCACCTGTTAGGTCCTCAGACCTAACAACCACTTTCCATCTGTCACCACAAAGTTGTGTCTTGCCCGTGGACACCGCTGAGCTGCCCACACTGGTATGCCAAGCTCTGTGTTCCTGTTCCCATTTACTTCTTACCTGGAGCAGTTCTGGACGAGGTGAGCACGTAAGTGGGGCTGCTGTCAGCGATGGTACCAAAAGCTGTTACTGGGAAGCAACAACTCTTTACCAGAAGTTCGGGCTTCCACAGCAGAATTATCGTGAGTCTATGAACTAAGTGCTGTATAAGGAGCTTCCCATCTGTGACCTCTGCTGGCAGTTTAAGTTGTTTCTGTGCTGTTTCTTCATTGCCACCCCTTTTTCTGCGCTGTATCTGGACTTTGCTATGGTGGAAAGCTGCCTCTCTCCCTTAGACCTTCTCCTCTCTAACCCTATGGCAATACTGTCATCCTGAGTTTAAGGCATCTTTTAGGAAGGCGTCTGAGGTTCAGCCTAATGAGTTGCTACAGAATCAAGTCAGAGCAAACAAGGCCAAACAAAAAAAGTAATCCTTGCTTAAAATAGTAAATCCATTAAAGTAACAAAAGAGCAAGTATGGGGCAGTGCATGGCTTTGTAATTCAAGTAGGATATATTTGGAAAATTGCTGCTGCTCTGAAAAAACGTCTTGGATGTGCAAACCATTGCCTTTGAGGCAGCCAGGAGGGGGCGGCAGCAGCGGCTCCAGCTGCAGCCTGGAAAAAAATGTGTTTCCAGGAATTGCCATCAACAGTCCTGAAGGCAGAACTCCCTTTCTCTTCGTGTATGAATCATGCTGACAGGAAGCTCTTGTTGCGTCCTGGATCCATTTGAATTTGTTAACACAGATTTTTCTTTTCTACTCACCTGCACAAGTTAATCTCAAGCTTTTCTCAAGTGTCTTCTGCTGAGTCTTCCCCCTTCCCGCTCCAAAAACACGTTGCAGGGTTTCTGTGGCCCCTCTCAGCCTTAGGGTGCCCAGGGCAAGTGCTCAGGAAAGGCGACGCTGGTAGCCGCTCTGCGGGAAACTCCCTCTCGCTCCTCCCAGCCGGACTGGACTCAGCCCTACCTGCCTCCCTCTCCTTGGCGGCCGTGAAGTCAAAGGTATTTTTAGATAGGAGAAATCTGGGGCTTGGCCAGGGGCTGTTGCGAGCGCTATCGGCGCTGAGCTCTGAGCGAACCGGGGGTGGAGAGGGTCAGCCTTCCCCAGAGCCCGAAAACCCGTCAGCCTCTTGAGCTCTGTCTATAAATAACCGGGGAGGCCCAGCAGGCCCCGGTGATGGCAAGGCAGGCTCCGCAGCTGCCCTTGCCAGCCCAGCACCCGTTCCTCTTCACGGTAGGTCACCCACTGCTGGACAAGAGGGAAAGGGCCAGTGCTGCAGCTCTCCCGGGCAGGAAGAGAAGGATCTCTCTTCTGAGCTAATAATCAATGAGCGTGTGAATGTTTTCAGAGGTTTTTCTCTCCTGTGCCAGTCTAACAGAGGAAGTGAGTAGTTACCGCTCGCGGCTCCAAGCCCGGATCAGTTTGAACTGAGCAGCGCTGGAGATCCCCTTGTGCGTCCGCCAGAAGACGGTCGTCACACTAACGCTATTCTTTATGGCAGACGAGCGGCCAGGGATGGTTCTGCTTTACTCGCTATGCTCTGCGCCTGTCCTCCTCCACCTTTGCCCCCGGCTCACAGCAGGAGCCTGCCAGCCTCGGCTGCGCTCGGCACAGCCGCCAGCTGATGGAGAAGAGACCTGGACAGAGAGGAACGTTTGGTATGGGCGGCAAAGGAGAGGGAGAAGCAATATCCATGCTGCAGACTAAAATGCTAAGTAGAGGGGAGCTCTCTGGATGGAGGAGAGCTGCCCTGGTTTAACTTGGGTCCGTTTGTTCGGATGGCCCAAGCTCCTGCGTGCACACGTCTAGTGTTGAGCACAGACCCCCCTCCCAGCTGCCTTCAGACAAAATGAAGCATGGCCTCAAAATACAAGTGGCTGCATAGAGCTTGGCCTGGGTTTGGAGTTGCACTGCAGCTTTAGGCCAGCATAGGAAGAGCCCTTAGAGAACAACAGATCGCATCAAAAACAGACGTTGGGAATTTCTGAAAAAGAAACACTTTTTATTCCTATTGGGAGCTCCTGTTTCTCTCTGATAGCAACAACTTGTGTTGAGAAAGATCAGAAGCAGGGCAATAACGTAACCAAAGCTGCCTGAGCGAGGCTGGCACGACCTAGGGCCGACCCACGCTAGTTTTCCTCCCACCTCCAGCGATGAGGGGACGATTCCCCTTTGGACAGTTTTCTTGAACTCAATTTCCTCCGCAGGGAGGAAAATTTGTCTCCGAGAACTTTCCGTAGCCCCGTGTTGTCCCTACCAAAGGGTAGATCCTTCTTCACAGCAGGCAGTTGTCCTGTAAACATTTCCCACTTGGCCAGGGCGTCCACGGTCCTGTCTACCTGCGCCAGTTCCTCCTCGGAGACGTTCCTCTCCAGGGCAGCAATGCACGTCCGATGGAGAGGGCCTGGCTGCAGGTGTCGGGCGTCAGCGGCTCGGACAAGGAGGTCACCGCCTCGGAGTCGTTCTCGCAGCACATGCCGGAGTCTGAGCTGAACGGGGGGAGGTCCTCGGAGGCAGACCGCTCTGCCGACTCTTGCCTCGGCCAGCTGGACAGCACCGTCTGTGTCCAAGCGTAGAGCTTCTGCGGGGAGAGGAGGAACGGTTTTGTTTCAGAGAAGGAGAGCAAACAGGTATGCCTTTCCCAAGGTTTGTCGGATGAACCCAGCCACCTCGGGTGCCTCGGTGTGAGATGCTGCGGTGCTCTCTGCTAGGAGGTGGGTTCAGACAGCTGACAGCTACCCTACAGAGCAGGGCTTTTTGTTCCCTCATCTTCCCGGGGTCCGTGTCTGTGGCAGAGCTGCCTCCCACTGGGACGTGGACCGTGTCTGCCCCGCTGGAGGGTGGCAGGAGAGAAATGGCACAAACTCCCTCCCCGCGCACGCGCGATCTCCGCCAGAGCCGGGCCGGTACCTCTCTGGAGGAACCTGGGCCGCTGTTAAGGCTCCTGAGATAAAGTTGAAGAATCTGGTTTCGTCGTGTTACTAACTCCTGTGGTAACGTGCACTTTATTGCGACGAACAGCGCTTTGCCTCTCAAGCTGGAACGCGCAAGAGGGAAGGCCGGGCTCCAGGAAAGAATCGGTGAAAGGAAAACGTCTCAGACAATTTCCTTGCTGAATATTAAACGCTACAATGGGGCGTACAAGGGGTTGCTTCTGGCACATTTAGTCCTTAAGCCCTGGGGAATGAATCACAGTACTCCAGTCATCACTGGATAAAAGGTGCTCTCTTTGTCTGGCTTGTTGGCATGTGTTGGGGTTTTTTTTTTGTGTGTGTGTGTTTTTCAGCTTTTTCGCACCCTTGTGGCCTATTTCCTTATCTTTATTTTCTGCAGCTCCCAGCTGATACCTTTGCACAGCCCTGCGTTTGCTCTGAGAAACGCAGTGGTGGCGGTTAAGGAACGTGAACTTGAGACGTCTCCCCCTGCGACGGGGGGGCGCTGGGCTCGGGGCGACGGGGG